CATACACATGACCCGGCTTCGCCCGGGACTTGGATCCACGATGCCCCGCCGCCTTTGTCTCCCCAGTGACGATGTTCACACACGACAGCAGTTACGCTTTTGAGGCTGAGTGGACCTAGGGGAGGGCCAGGTCCGTTTCAAATAATCGTCAGCGGTGGTGGGCGTGAGTTGGAATCGAACTGGGGTCGCTCAAGCAGCTTAATGACTGTTTGTACAAAGAACATATAAAGAATCGATTATAATAACCAGGCAAGAGTCCACATTATAGACTGCCAGTACACGCACTCAGCTTCATAAGCAGGCTAGAGTGTACATGATAGAGTGGCAGTACGCTCACCGAGCTTAATAAGCAGGCTACAGTGTACATGATAGACTGGCAGTACGCTCACCCAGCTTAATGAGTATTTGTACAGTGAACATTAAAGTAATCGATTGTTGGCGCGTTAGGTTTAAAAGTAATATTAATAGCACACATTGTGGTGGGGGTGTAGTGAAGAGTAGGAAAAACTTTGATGAATTTACCTCAGAGTGGCGTGGTGGGTGTCGAGGCCTAGTAGCGTGCAAAGCCTGCGGCCTCGCCTAAAATTGTCGGCTTGGAAAAGGCAGGGTACGGGTGGCGTTCCTTCCCCCCCCCCCCCTAGCGCTCCAACAATACTGTGTAATGGCTATTATTTAATTAAATACGGAGCTTATGAAAGTGGCGAAGGCGTGGCTAGCCGTTGGCAGGGGCAACCGCCGTCCAATGAAACTGCAGCCCTTGGCGAAGGCGTGGCTAGCCGTTGCCAGGTCCAATGAAAGCGGCGAAGGCGTGGCTAGCCGTTGCCAGGGGCAACCGCCGTCCAATGAAAGTGCGTATGGGCCAAAGTCCACACACACACACACAGACAGACAGACATGAACGATTTTATATATATAGATACTGGTCCCATGATGGAAATAAAACTGTTTGTTTTGTATTTATGTTACTTTAATTATGTTTTATTTACTATAGTCGTTTTTTTACAGCGTTACATGCCAATGTTTCATATTTATTCTAAATTATGATTTTAACAATGCTTCCCTTTTTATTAACACATTTCGTAACGCTGACCTATGGGTATTTAAATACAGCGCATTATTGTGTTCCGACGTACGAACGGGTCTTAGGAACGAAGCAGGTTATTTTGCAACATACCTGGCCAATCGGAGGTGCAGGGGAAGGACAACAAACTGAACACGAAAAGCAGGTCTGTGTTTATGATTGGGGGCCGTCCATAAATGACGTCACGCACCTAGGGGGGGGGTCAGACATTTGTGACGATGTGTGACGAGGGGGAGGGGTTTGAGAAATGTGATGTCACATCAAAATGCGCAATTTTAAACAAATATAGACAACACGTTCTATTTAATTAAATAGACTTTTTAATAAATGTTTTCTCCTACAACATCAGAGTGCAGCGCCACTTTAAATACGCACTACAATGACAATAATTTAAAGCGATTTTAAGCATGTTTTATTTTTTGGGGGGGGGGCAGAGTTTTGTGACGTCATATTTGAGGGGGGGGTCTGACTTTTTGTGACGCCGTGTGACGAAGAGGGGGGTTCAAAAATCGTCCAAAATCGCGTGACGTCATTTATGGACGGCCCCTTGTGTGTATGTAAGGCTATTTAAAGTAATAAAAATATTTTTTTACGTGATTTATATTTATCATTTACAAACGTGATCACATTTCCGTTGACATTGGTCAAGCTAAGGGGCCCAATCGTGTAAATGTGAGGACTCCACATCTATGGTTCCCAAAAGCAGATGGTGATTCGACTTTACTGATGAGTCCTCATGTGAACAAAACCGGTCTACAATGTCTACAGGGTGGCCCTTGTGCGCTGTTCGCCTTTCGGCGTTCTCTGGTCTGACACGAGTGAGTCAAGGCCATGAAGAAGGATGTGTATGGTGTGGGCCAATCCGTTTCAAAGACAATGCCATATATTAATTATTATCGGAGCATGTTTGTTTGCTTGCATGTTTTGTCGCAAGTGCGTGTGGATCACGCAGGCTTGATTTCTTGCAAAAGGTATTTATTTGGAGTTTGAACATCTTAATACCTGTTTTATTGGCAGAAAGGGTAAACCCTATACTTCATAATTTACCCGAACATTATTTTTCATTTGAATATTAATTTTTGTTGAAATTAAACCTCAAATTATTTTGTAGTATTAGATAATTAAATTGTCACAAGACATCTGGATCACCCTGTTAAAGGCCGTTTTACGGTTCTTTTTTTTAGTGACATTCTTATTCGGTAAAAATTAAAGATAGGCGTCTTTATCGCGGCTATAGCTGGACACAAACAAGCTGCTTTCGCCGTTCTCTGGGAATCTGCAGCTCAACAAAACCGTGGTCGTGTGACGTCACAATGGGCTCATTAGCATGCGGGTCGGCTCGGTCGCCTTGAGCGTAGCGGCGCTGCACCGATGCACGCGTTTTACACTTCTACTCTGTACACATTCGACGCTGAATTACCATTAGCCGCACTGCACTTGTAGAGCAGCGACGAGTATTTTAGATTCACATTAGATGTGCACTTTGATTTATGAATGTAGAAAACGTTGGAAAGGTCTATAGAATGATATAAGCAAATTGCTATAAGAATACAGTCGTGCACAGTGCGTTGTCACTGCATGGAAAATTAAGTCGAACAAGATTTGTCTGCGTTAACGGTTTCAAATCCAATAGTGATGTTGTATTATATATAACGTGTCCATGTTTGCTATAAACGTTGCACAATTTCATTGAATTGTGATGAATGCACTCGCGCAACTTCTGCGATGTAATTAAGTTGTAGCATAGCTATCACAGTCTTGCACCATTAATATATTCCAACAAAACAGAACACGGGATAATGATTTAATTATTATTGAGCCCCCCCCCACCTGCCACACGCCCCCCCTCCCACCAAATCTCCCTCCCCTTCGGTGCAAGATAATGGACTATTTGCACCATGGACCGAGATGATGATGATGATGATGTGATCATGATTTGTAATTCCGTGGCAAAATCGGTACGTGGGGCTACGGTGCAGAATTTGCCGTGGTGAGGAGGGGCAGCACGTGACTGCGATGGGAGAAGGGTCACGTGGAGGGGACAGCCCCCCCCCCCCCGCGGTCACGTGACCACCTACATAATAATTGACAGCGCCACCTGCTCAAGAGTCTGCCCATCATTATCGATGGTGGTGAACTGTGATCAGCCAGGAACAGGTATCGGGATTTCTTGCACCCCAAAAAATCCCCCGCCAGGATGTGCATGCGCGGTGTGCCATTCACATTATGTATGTCGATTAACCTATGAATAGCTAATGGTTATCCATTGCACTTTACATGACCTCCCCCCACTGGTCTATGCACCTAATTGACTCACAAGTGACGACATCACATTTATCCCCCGTCTATTTGAGACGGAAACAGGAGGATTATTTTTCCACAACTCTGGCTATCCGCCTGATGATGCTGGTTGCATTTGCCGGTGCAACGTCACAGTAACTCGAATTGTAAATGTTGTGGTCTTACTCTCCAACGCACCGGTGTGCTGTACTAGTAACGCATTGCCACGTTTTGTTTACGTGACCAACCCCTTATTAATTGACCGTGTCGGGTGGTGGAAGGTTTAACGACAAATTAATTTTACGCAATCTGACCCAAAACATTATAATATGGACCTTTATACAGCACTGCACACTTGAAACGCGACACGGTCGTAGGCCTAACAAATAATAGGGTTCATGTACATTAAACGTCTATAGCTTATATGTGTGCTATAAAGAAGGGCTATTTGCCCGAAACTTCGCCAATACTTTTATTTTACTTTCACGTGTTCTTTTTTGGTGACAACCCTATTATTGCATTGTAGCAGCAGTCGCATCGTCACCAAATTAAAATGTTAAATGGCAGCAGCTCACGGCCACCGACAGACAACCCAGTGTCGATTACACTGTGTAACAAAAAAAATGTTTTTTGTTCCTGGGTAGTAAGTGTTTTTTCCTAATTGCTTATGCCTCAAAAGAGCAGAAAATGGCTATTATTCCCCACAAACTTCGCTTTTGTGACCAGGACAATGATATTTTGAAATTTACCTATTTTCTATGAAAAAACGTGTTCATTTGTCTCATTCTTTCACATAAAGTCCTGGTCACAAAAGCAAAGTTTATGGGGAATAATAGCCGTTTTCTGCACTTTTTAGGCCTAAAGCAATTAGAAAATAACACTTACTACCCAGGAACAAAAATCGTGTTACATTCCGGTCCAGGGCCTCATCCCCTAGGTCGACTCGGCCTCAAATGCCGGTGGTGTGGTGTGTAAATGCGGCACATGGTATAAACGTCGCCACTGTGGGGAGACAAAAGCGGCCGGGCGTGGTGTCGGCCACCACACCCCCTTCGTTGTGCCGTGCCGGCCTTCATCGGTGCAGCTCGCTCACAGCACTTGGGGGCCGTCCATAAATGACGTCACGCACCTAGGGGGGGGGTCAGACATTTGTGACGATGGAGGGGGGGGGTTGAGAAATGTGACGTCACATCAAAATGCGCAACTTTAAATAAATAAAGACAACACGTTCTACTTAATTAAATACAATTTTTAGAAATGTTTTCTCTTACAACATCAGAGTGCAGCGGCACATTAAATACGCACTACAATGACAATAGTTTAAAGCGATTTTAATCTTGTTTTATTTTTGGGGGGGGGGGGGGGCAGAGTTTTGTGACGTCATATTTGAGGGGGGGGGTCTGACTTTTTGTGACGCCGAGTGACGAATCGCGTGACGTCATTGACGGACGGCCCCTTGCCCCCAGAGTCTGTCACAGGCTGCGGCGGCGGGGGACCTTTGCCTTTGTAGCCACGGGGGGAGGGGAGGAGCTTATGTTGATCACGTGCTCGCACAGCGACGCGTGGATTGGGTGAATCCGCGGGTGAGGTCACGCGGGGTTTCGGGGGGAGGGGGGGGCGTTGCCGTGGTTACCAGAATCTGCGTCTGTGGAGCGGCGGCGGTAAGAGCGGACGGCTGCCTCTGCTGCCTTCTAATATTTAGAATTAACAACAATAACAACGATACTAACAACAACAATAATAGCGACAGGTAGAGTCGATTCCCACTGCATTCGCCTTAATCTAAGCGCTTTGTTTATCCGTGTGTTTTTGGCGTGCAAGGAACGCGAAGGCCGTCCGTGAAATGCGGCATTGAACGCAGGCCCAGCGACGCATTTAGAATCGGAATCTTTTTATTTTATCATCATTTACACAGTTTGGTAGCGATCGACTTAGAATTGTTGAGGGGAAAGGAAGGCGATGCACTGCAGCAACACGGGCGTCGTCACTCGCCGAGTCGCCCCCTAAGAGGCTGAGGTGAGTGCTGAGCACCGATATGGCTCAACGCGCGGTACAATTTGTTGTTGTTGTTACGCAATCGCCGAACAATTTGTTGACTCGAATTGTTGTTGTTGTTATACTACGAAACATTGTTAGCATAACCCACCATACTCTTTAATTTTCTGTTTGAAGCTTTCGTGACTGCAGGGATTCATAGTCTTGGTTCGTGCGGTAAAGTCACGTAGAAGTGAAATAAAATAATAAAAATGTATACATTCTCACGACGTTTCGACTGCAACACAAGCAATCATCATCAAGTATGAAAACCACAGCAAGAATTTTTTTTTCACATTTTCTTGCTGTGGGTTTCACACCTGATGATGATTGCCTGTGTTGCAATCGAAACGTCGTGAGCATTTTATTGTTGTATTTGTTATAATTTTATTTTATTATTATTTCCCTTCTACGTGACTTTACCGAAAGAAGCAAGAATACGACCATACTCTCTCTGTCCATCGCTGAATCGAGGGCCACTTCCACGCCGCTCAGTCGTAGCAGCAATCAACCCACGTGGACTTTAAAAGGGACGTGGGAGCTCCCCCTCCATCGATTTCACGTGCGCCTCGGAAGCGAACGCGCTCGTTTCTACGTCTGAATATTGTGAAATCGCATCGTACTCTTTGCTTCTTTCGGTAAAGTCACGTAGGTATAAAATAAAATACACAATCGCAACACAAGCCTCACATCATCAGGTGGGAGCGCCCACCTGATGACTGACGCTTGTGTTGCGCCCGAAACGTCGTGATTTATTTTATACCTACGTGACTTTGCCGAAAAAAACAAAGAGTATGGATTCCTATAGTCACGAAAGCTTCAAATCAAGATTATATCGAATCGTCTTCATCATTGTCTCTCGCGGTCGAGTCGCATCTGAAATACGTTCAGCGCCCCCGTCCCCGCAGCAGGTCACTTCACGTGGACGTCCTCGACCGCGCGTTCCCCTCCATCCTTTAGCTGCCATTCCGTACCACCCGGCCAGCATCATCATCATCCTTTGTAAATGGCGGCGTGTCCTGCCCAAACACCCACTTTTATCTACATTAAACGTGACATTTTTAACTCGCGTATGTTTTCAAGCTAATCGTGTACGTCCTTTACTCCCACACCTGATATAGGAAGGTCACCTCCGCCGGCTATCCCTTCACGGTCGATAAAATTCGTAACACTTAGTCGGCAGTAGAGGTCAGTTATTGGAGGCTGATTCCTGCCGTGGGAATGTGAAATTTATCATCAGAGCCGTCAGTGGAGACCATTCATTGCACCCGACTGAGCAACAGGAGGCATTCTGATTGACCATTTAACCAGGAAGTTTAACTGGGTATTAATATTACTATGTTGCGTTTAACACAATGTGGCGGGGAGGAGCGGATACGCATTGGTTGGCGCACTGCCCTATGATCCCGACACCTGAGTCGGATTGCAGGTGAAGGCTGATGTCACGAGCGAGTGATATTCGAACCTGGCCTGGCCTCCAATCCCACCACCTCCACGACGAAGTATGGTCAAACAATCCCCCCATGGCCCTAATACAGCGTAAGGAGGCATTCATTCAGTAGTGGATTGACGAAAAGGTTGTAAGTGTGCTAAATATAATTATATTGCAGGTATTCCTTTTTTGTTTGAACCTTTATTTCGCGGTCATTTTCAGTTATTTTATTTATTCTCAAAGCGTTTTGTCCTTTTGTTTAGCAAGTCACTTATTACAAAGACATCGGTGAATGTGCTTTGGAGACCTGTGTTGTGAATGCGTTTCACCCAGTAGTAAAACTATACAAACACAATTTAATGTGAGTTTATAGTGTGCTGCCATTGCATGGTATTTAACATAAACACGTACCCAGGTATGCATCAGTGTCAATAATTATAATTTTTTGTCAGTGGAATACAGTATATTATGCCAAATATCCCTCTGAAGTGGTAGGAAGCGAGGGCACCTTGAGAAAACCCGGGCATACTGGGGAATACATACTAAAAGATCTGCTATAGATAGGTCTATGACTTATTTGCTATACTGTAATCTCTAGGTTGTCTTGTAGCCATGCAAATGCAGGTGGGTTTTTATGCAGCTGATGATCTCTATGTGGTCGACCAACTCTGCTTCCAAATGCAGGATTACACATAGCGTCCATCATGGCTACCACACCTGCTTCTTATATCAATGTATAAGTGCAGTACTAGGATAGGAATTACTCAATGATATGACGTGTGTGCAGGCTAAAGGATTTAACTTTCTCCACTTTAGAAGCATGCGTTTAGAGTATTTGGCTGCTATACATTTGCACATGATAAGCCACTTCGTTGAGCGATCATGTGTGGTCAGGTCGCTTCTGAAAAATATCTGAGTGGGCCTTACCTGGTAAAATGAATAAATACAACTTAATGGAGATTATTCAGTGCATATATCAAAGCACTAGGCTGTTAAATTTGATCATTGTGCCATAATTTAGGTAGCTGAGGATCAACATGTGAAACAGCTGGGTGCACTTGGGCACACCTGGTGTCGCAGATATGTGAACTGGAGCAGACGGCACTGTCTCCCTGCACTGGACTGGCTTGACAGCCTGAAAAGAAAAGCACTGTACAGTATTACACGTGTGAGATACATTGCTTGTCCACGAATATGTGGGAAAGCCGGCTTAATGTTCTCCTAAACTCCCTTGCACTGACCCATATCCTGCCACTGATTCGCTGCCTCATGCCCCCTCCACAAGGATGGCTAATGTACAAATGTCTCCGATCACTGCACAGATGAGATGAGCATTAACTCACTCGTGTAAATGAGTGTTAACAGACTCCATAACTAAAGAGCCGAAGCTGCTTAAAGTGCTGGTCACCTTGCCTGATTTTTTTTTAAATAAAGCAATGGACAGCAGACCAGATGCTGCTGTTGACATAAATTGTGCTGACGTTTAGTGCCCCTGAATGTTGTTTGAGCAGTTAAGTGGCATTTGCTTTCAGGACCACAGTTCTCAGAACAGCGTGGCCAGAGACGCATTTCAATTACATGAGAACTAAGTGCCTCATTTAACCAAGAAAAGTAAATAATTTAAGTATTATTTATGAAAGCAAAATTACCAGTATACTGTATGGGTTTCAGATGTTAAAAATGTGTACTATTATTATTTTAAAAGTGGAATACAGTATATTATGCATGTATATTTCTCCATCCAGTTTTTAGAAAATATCTACCAATGTCACTGTTCACTCCCCTTCTGATACGTATTTTGTTACTTTCCTCACAGCCTCGGTGTAGCTCTTCCATCCTTGTAAATGGTTTTATCATGACTGAAGAGCTTAATAAAGAAGGCAGCAAAGGTGGGCTCAACATACATGTGAGTAATTTTTTTTTATATTGACTGTTAAGAAAAAGTAAGTGAGCTTGGGCACAACCCATCGCTAGAAGGGATGATGGATGATGGACTGGATTGACGATGGATTGACGATGGAGTGGTAGCCAAAGGTGGTGTTCTGCTGAGTTGGATCAATGAGATCCGCTCATGTGGAAGAGCTAAGTAGATTGTTGCATCACAAGACCGTGAGGGATTGCAAGAACTTGGGGTGGCCTTCATTGTGCAGTGGCTTCATAATGGCTGATAATAATTCTCATGTATTGTTATTGTGCATGTATTTCATTTATGTTTTGATACATAGTGAGTCGAACATGTTTATTGATATTTTCTCGAAAGCATTTGCTTTTGTTTTCATTGAAGTCAATGCTTTATTCGACATTGCCAATACGGTATATTTTTTTAATATGCGTTCTATTAAAGCTGTATTTTTCGTAAAAATATTTCTCATAATCAATATAATAAGGTGGTTATGCTGTAGGGCTGCATTTTTCAAAATAAGCTTGCTGATTGTGGGAAAAAGGACTGCCATGCACAAGCAGAGCATTTGACATACCTCACTTATTTTTTTCTTTAAATGCTTCAAGTATAGTGGTTCTCAGCTCTGCTCCCTTAATCATAAGTGCTTTAAGCAGAAGTTGTTTTTGTGCTACTATGTGAAAAAAGCTATGGCCTTTTGCATTTTTTTATTTGTTTTAAGTATTTACAGAAATGTTTCCATTACTTACACATGGTACTTGATATATATAAAAAAAAATCTGCTCTTTGCCTTATTAGGTACTGTTCATGAGCATATATTATGCTCAGCAAGTAACACAAGAGCTCAATTGAAACTATGTTTCCCTCACTTTATGCGGTAGATGTGTTTCAAGGAAAGGCACAAAAAGCGAAACCTCACGAGACAGCTGCCTGCTGAATAGCACGTACACACAATGATTTCCCTCGTCCGACCACATCTGTGGACATCTGTGAGGAAGAGCTTCATAGATCGTCGGATTATTACATTCTAAATAAAGATTCTGACATAGCCGCATATGAGTGAATTCAAACCACATACAGGCATACCACTTACAGTGCTCCGGGTGCGTTCTTGGTAAATGGAGCGCGATACGAAACAGCGCTATAGGAGGCCATTATAACATGGTTCCAATGGAGATGCGTTACCGACAGCATTTGGTCGGAGCTTGCATAAGATTAACCACCGTCTGTCGTAAACACGCGTTCCGCGAGAAGCTACAACTAACCAATGAGCTTACTCGATCGATGGACCACAAATTAATTGATGCAGCGATTAATCCTCAATGAATCGATACTCTAGTGTGGCTGTCGGATCTACTACGAGCCTAATCGATACAATGGACATCTTGATTCTGGTTCCACAAGACCATATATGCCTACTCTCTTTCATATATGAGCTGAACTGCGAAGGAGTTTCCCTCCAGGACAAAGAGTGTCATAACGAAACAGCGTTATAAGAGGCAGGGATATCAGAGGCAGCGACATAAGAGGTATGTCTGTAGAGCAGATTTTGGGTATAAATAGGTTTGCCGCATATACGCGAAATCGCACAAACCGAATCCGCATATAGTGAGGGAAATCTCTAAAAATTTAAACCCAATATCTTTAACCACATCGACTATTTTTTTTCGCATGCACACACGTATACACAAGATAAAAAAAACCCCCACCATCCTCCAGTGCTTTCATCATAGGCTGCTGTGTGGACAATTCGGAGCTCTCCTGAGAAATGGCAGCCGTGTTGCCTTTAACGAACATGTCAATTGTTTCTTCCCCGTTTTATTGAATGTGCGATGGTGCCGCATTCACCCTCATCGTGACGTTTGTGATGCAGATGTCACCCTGCTGCAGCAAAAGCAACCGGACGGGGCCAGGTATTAGCCAGAACATCCTGGGTACTGGGACAGTATCAATGCCACGCAAGCACCCACGAAAAAATGGCTGGAGCTGGCCACTGCACCTACAGCAGATTACCGCGTGGTTGGCCATCACCTATTTTGTGACTGTCGGCTTTGGAGCTTGCTTCCCGTTAATGCGGAGTCACTGGCAGCCATTGGCCTACATTGTATCCTTTGCAAAGATGAAAGTACGGCACATGTATCTTCACAGCATTTATGGAATTTATATTAGTGGTGTTTAGTATTCTCTTGTAACCAGACATTTTTGGCATGGGGATGCTGTTTTAGACTTGGTGTCCAAAATGTGAGCCATTTATATATTTAGCTTTAAAAATTGAAGACTTAATGATGAGCTTTTGTCAGTCTGCAGTGTAATAACTGCCTTCCTGTGTAAATGCAAAGTTGCCATGCTGAACCAGGCTTATAAATAAAAATATGCAAGGTATGACATTACATGTCTTGAAATGCTGTCACATTTGGATATGTATATTTCAAAATTGTATTATATCGTTGACATGGTGCAGAATGTGTGTTCATGTTTTTATTAACTAAAATTGCTTGTTATTTTCAAATGGGAGGCTGATGTAGAATTAATCCTACGAGTGTTGGAAAATGTATTTTATCTTGACTTAAAGCTTTCGTGACTGCGGGAAGTCATATTCTTGGGTCTTTCGGTAAAGTCACGTAGATAGGTTCAAATAAAATAAAATAAACATTTTTAGATAGGTTCAAATAAAATCAACAAAAATAACAAGTTTTTGTTATTTTATTTTATTTGTACCTATCTAACAAAAAACTTTTTTTATGTTATTTTATTTGAACCTATCTACGTGACTTTACCGAAAGACCCAAGAATATGAATGTGTTTTATATTAACGATCCCCTGTTAACGCAGAGTGTTGCACCTTAACTTGGTCTTCACCCTCAGGTCACATCGTTGGTACTTGCCATTCACGTGCTGATGCATATATTGGCAGTGTCTATTGACCCAGCAGATGATAATGTGCGCAGCAAAATCTTCAGTGAACCAGTGCCAATGTTTGACCGCAGCGTGCGAGCTCACGTTATCGAGAACAACTACTGTGTGCTTTGCAGAACCGAAGTGTGAGTATGGGTGAAATGTCACGAGTTATTTTTCCCGCAAGCACCATAAATGTAGTCCATGCCAATTTGAAAAGGTCAAATGCATTCTCTGCCTTAATTGTGCATTCATAAAATTGACCTTTGGGTGGCTCCGGGTGCTAGTCACCATGTCAGAACACTGAACCTGCACCGTTTTGATCTTTGGATTCAGATCCAGGCAATATGTGGTAAAACCTGAGTTCTGAAGTGTTGTGAGTTGATGGTCTAAACCCAGTTACCAATGACGACATAAAATCCATCAAGTATTTTTTTTCATTACAGATATTTTCCAAATGAATTTTGTAACAAAAAGTAATGATATACCTGTAAAATACCTGTAATGAAAAAATACTTTTATGTAAATATCCATTCACTGCTACAAACTCCCTCAAAGTTGTGAACGTGATAAGATACATCACCTATAATGGATAGTCAATTGAAGACACCTGAGAAGTAGCTTCATGATATAGTCTTCCACAAGCCATCTTCTTACATAGGGTGATGCCCTGCTTTCTTCGAGAGCTACACATTAACATATCTTCATCTCATTACAATGACATCAAAAGCTCAATTGGAATAACATTGTCATTACAAATTAAACAAACTATAATATTTCCATGTGCTTGATCTTTGATCCACCCATCAATTGGTACAATACAATATTGTGTGATCATGTCTAAATTATCCTGGTTATAATCACAGGGGTGGAGACTTTTTCTATCATAGAGGGAGAGTTTACAGTAATTGTGGAGGAATATGATTCTTAGCCTCTGGGAAGCAAACGTGTTTCAAGAGTAGAGCAGCTTAAGTTACCCAGCTAACATTTAGACTCGAGAATCACTACACGTTAAAGGTAATTATCATATATGTTCCAACAACATAACATGAAGATGAAGACATTGACTAAATATATGAAAAATGAACCAACTGCTAAATCTGTATCATTAGACCTCCTTTGCCAGTACCAAAATATAATAATAGGGTTTTTCCCCTTTTTCTGGCAACAAAACTGAAACCTTTTACAGGGAATCATGTGTGCATTAACTACAATACTTGTGGTCAAAATGCAAACAAAAAACACACTGATTATATGTGCATTGTCCTTGAAACTGATTGGTCCACACCAGAGACGGCTTTCTTTTGAGCCTCGTCTCATTGCATTGTCTTTGAGCTGTACGCCTTTTGGCGTCCTCTGGTCTAGCACCAATTGAGACGAAGCTCAAAAGAAAGCCGTCTCTGGTGTGGACCAATCAGTTTCAAGGACAATGCATATATTATCAGTTTTTTATTGCATTTTGACCACAAGTATTGTGGTTAATGCACACATGATTCCTTGTGAAAAGGTTTCAGTTTTGTTGCCAGAAAAAGGGGGAAACCCCCTATTATTATTATGCTAAATCTGTGTAATTGAAACACCTTCTAATGTAATCCATTACAACATTGTAATAAATAATACAGGTTTTGTGGGTTTAGATCACGTAAATTTACGGATGATATTGGTTGCGAAAGCCTACATGTTGTTAAACATTTAATGGATTACTTTTATGTTAAAGTATGTAAAAGTTTGAGACGAGAGGATGTGTTTAATAGAGTGAGGAATGGGAGAGGCGCACATCTGTTAGAGTTTACACCCAGAAAAGACATGGAAATTATACATTTAAAATAATCAGGAATGGACGAAATGGATGTGGAGGAGCAAAATGCTAAAATTATAAACAAAAAATATTTATTCTGATGGTCATATCCCAGATATTCAATAAATGCAACACCGGAAGCAATAACAGGGTGGTGAGATGCAAGTTGTAATTTAAAATCGTTAAAGCGAGGGCAAAACAAATTTATTACACATTTACAGAGCACGGCCCGTAGGGCTTAAAATGTCAAATGGCCAGCAACAAACAGCACTTTCAAAGTTGTAATGGATTAGAGTGAACTCGTTTCTTGAATTAAGCAAAGTTATATGAGCTTGGGAAAATAGAGGATGGGGAGGGTATTTTACAGTCGATCGGTGTGAGGAAAGAAGAAGTAATACTTTTGACCTGCAGTATGGCGGGTTAACGCAGTATGGACGAGATGAAACAGTTTGGTAGGTCAAGTCCTCAACATTGGTCTAGCAATCAATGAGTGAAGTTCACAGGGACTATAACCATGGTGATAGCGATAGAAGAGAGATAAGTAGGTAACTTCATTCTCCCGTGGAAGACCATTGTAACACACACATTTTTGGCAACATTACTAGACAAAAGTTGCTCTGTTTAAATTTAGCTTAATGTGGGCAAGTAGTGTTTTGGCAGAATTACTCTCCAGGGGCCTGAGCACTGAACAACTTGCGCAATTTTATAAATTGCGTAAGCCAAAACTTGTCCGAACTCTGATTCCATGTGGGATTCAGGCAAGGGGAACCGTGTAAATTCTGTGAGAACTCGGGCGCAGCCGAGAACACCATTAAGTTCTCCATTACTCACGTCCACACAAACACACAGACACAAATACGCACGCACGCAGCTGCACTCACAAATACACACAGAAACACACAAACACATGCGAGCAAAATTGCACACATCCACTCCCCACACAGAAACGCACTGCCAAAACTAGACAAAGAAATATCCCCAATATAACATTTTAACAGACTGTTACCAAGCACCTATTAAAGCCGGCACGGCATATGACACATACATATATACAAAAACACTCTCACACCACACATGAAGACATTCCCATGCAAAGTAACACACTCGATAACTGAACATGAAATAAATTCACACATCACACCCACATTACTTTTAAAAACAGTACAGGTGTCTCTCACTCACTTTATGTGGGGTCAGTTTGTGTGATTGCACGTATATAGGCAGCTAACCTATTTCTACCCAAAATTCACTATATGCGGTTTGAATTCACTCACATGCGGCTATGTGATCACACATGGAACATCATTGTGTGTGTAATGTTTGCACTATTTGGCAGGCCGGTCACATGTGGTTTCACTTTGTGTGTCCTTTTCTTGGAATGCATCTACCGCGTAAAGCAAGGATAACCCGTAATTACAAATATATAACTTATCTCAGCCACAGGACTGGCTGAGGTAAGTTGATGATGTCAGAGTGGCCAAGTTGTACGGGGACTTTACTGCAGCTATGTTGCATCAGGATTGTTTTCCTGGCAGCTGATTGGCTCCTGTAGCAGGAGTGGTGACGTAATCTCTGGCAACCACTGACCCGCCCAGCATTGCTATCTCGTTTGGACACGCAGAAATACTCTGCGTGTTCACCTGTGTAGTTTCGGAGCCTTGACACCAATCGCTCTCTAGCAGACAAATATTTTCCTTCTTCAAACCCTTATTTGCCATCATAACGGATGCAGTGCTGTTTTAGGTAGTTAGGTGTATTTAGATGAACATAAAAGTAAATAACCTATGTTACATATTTTCTCCTTTGGCTCATTGAGTAATTAAATTACTGTTTTGTAATGCTGGCTACATTTCAGTCATTTTTTTTATTAGACAGGCACATGTCGTATTAGGTTAATCTGTGTTCTAAATAACACTTTTTTAATCCATTATCTAATACAATGTTTTTGTCCCTACATTTTAACACTGGGGCAATTGTGCAATTATTAACACACTATTCTCTGATGAGTTAATTTCCGAGCGACGGCGAACAGTGGCGAGTGATAACTGAACCAGACCTGGGCCCCTTGCTTGAGCAACCCACATTAACCAGTGTGGAGAAGTATAGTCAATGAAACCCCATGACCGACACAGTGTGGGGAGGCCTTCATCCATTCCTTAGAATGACATAAAAGCCATCATTTATTCTTTATTTTATTAGTATAGCTGTCATTGAACATTGCATTTCATGGTTTATTTGTTTAGAAGAGCCGCAAAATCCAGGCACATGCATGAGGCTGATTGTGCAGAAATCATTACTCAGTTGTGTGTGCTTAACATTATCTGCAGCAGATGCTGTATTAGTAATAGGTTTGACAGGGTTGTGCAAGCTAGTGAACCACTGCCATTTAATTAACTTTTCGGCTTGTTGTATTGCCAGGTCAACCCAGGGTGTTATTGGTAGGTTTGTTTAATATGATAGTGGACATATGAGGTTTACGTCTGCGTGCTGCATGTATCCACACTATTTTACTTTGTTGCTCATATGTTTAGGGCACCTGATGGTGTTATCTTCTCTGTTGTAATCTCCACACAGCCATCTTTGATATTCATTTATTAAGCTTACATCAGTTTTGATGTCACCTTCAGCTCTTGGGGAAAAAATGCATACAGATACAGGTTACTGATATTTCTGCCGAAAAGTTTTTTTATATAATGTTTTCATGTAAATAGCTGCCCTCTTATAACAATTTCCGTATGTTCAGTGAAGTTTTTGTACTTAATTTTTGTTTGTTATTATTTAATTGGGGGCCCAACATTGCAGGCCCCTTTGTTAAGTTCTGCAATCATTTCCTTAGGTTGTTATCATAACTGTCTTAAGATGGTTAATCTTTTCCATTTTTTATGCCAATTTCTCCAATCCAATTTCAGAAAATAAATTCTTAACTTGCTGTCAATAGCCTTCATGTAATCTCGGTGTAGCTGTTCCATATTTATGAACTAAGATAATTGTTGGAAAGACAATTAGAAAACACAGCACTATGTATGCCTAGACCAATTATTAAAGATGAAACAGGATTAAAATGAATAAATATGCAAATAATTTGGAGTGCTTTCAGGAAAACTGAATTTATTAATGAAAAGCAAGATCTGTGTTCCTCAAGAAGACGTTTTTCAATCGAGTGCCTATTACCTGCTGTGACACAGAAAACAAAAGATAAAAAAGGTTACGTGAAGAAGCATGGCAAGATGCGTGCTTTGAATGACACTAAGAGGTAGATAAATACTTGCGTCAGGGAAGAAACAAATGAGAAATTCTTAACAAAGCAAGCATTTCATGTAAAGATGCATGGTGGCCACTACCATAGCCACTGGATAGTCTTATTTGGGTGTTGCTAGCATTGACAAGATGTATTCACCATAATCAATGCAAGCTGTTTTAAGTTACCTAAAACTGTGTTTTTTATTGAGTGGTTTCTTTTTTAGGTTTGTAAAGCGTTGTCTTTTGTTTCTTTTAGGGCATCCAAATCAAAACATTGCATTTCATGCAATAAATGTGTTGCTCGTTTCGACCATCATTGCCACTGGCTCAACAACTGTGTGGGCAGGAGGAACTACTGGTGAGTGAGTAGGCAGCATCAGATATACTATGAGACCTCCTTTACCAGTGGCAAAATATAGTAATAGGTTTCTACCCTTTCAACTGGTACAAAAACTGACACCTTTATACAAAGCACCAGATATGTTCCGCATCGCCCACATGCATTTATTGTGTGTGACTTAACGCATGGCCGGCACACAACCATTTTACAATCCTGTCCAAAGAATGCCATCGAGTGCTGCTCATTCAAACCAATTATCAGTTTCGATGGTTGGTTCTTAACCTGGGGTGCACGCTGCACCCGCTGTGGGTGCGAGATGCCCTTTCTGGGGGTGCACGACACGGCCAGATTTGTTTAGAAGGTCAATCATCGAAACACAAATTAAGCACGGGCATGTAAGTGCAACTACTTTGTTTCATCAAACCCCTATGTATTTCCATTCTACATTTTTGTAACGATTAGGAAGCAAAGCGGGTGCACGACTGCAGTAAAGGTTAAGAACCACTGGCTTATATTTTAATCTTAAACTTTTCTGCAAGCCTAGAGAAACGTGGGTTGTTAACAGCGAGGTAATTTTAACTTCTGATGATGTCCCTTCCCGACGGAGCACGTGCATGGCTGTGGATAGGGTATCGAGCAGAATATGACGTGATTTATGAATGTAAGGTTGCATTGATGCTTGCACTCAATATACATGCCATTGAATTATGTGTGTGAATCGATTATTATACATGCAAATTATATGCTAATTAAAACATCTAGTTAATTGGGCAAACAATTGTACAAGACGATATAAAGGAGACAGGGAAAATAAGACAAAACAATATAATCTTTACCCCGAATCATAATCATTGCTTATAATGGGGTCGGTGTGGGGGTACGAGTGGTTAAATGTAAAACGTGTTTTAATCATCATTGGCCTTTAAAAAGCTATGTATGTATTGCAATTTTTAAGTAGTGAGTTGTTCCTTGGAATAAGAATATATGAAGCCACACATTGTGGCAATATAATAACAATAGGTCTTGGGGGAAAAAAATCACTGTTGGAAAAATGATTCACTGTGGACTTTGCTTTACTACATATTGATTTGTTTGTCCCGCTTGCATGGATGTCACATGCACCATTTACTGATTATGGCATGTTAGCAACACTAGCTCATAGTGCACACAGAAATGCATCTTCTAATGTGTAGAAAACATTCAAGAAATATATATCCGACTGCTGGTCCCCAATGTGCTGTGAGCATGGTAAGTTGATTTGCTTTTCTGTCCTGTTCCAGGTTCTTTTTTGGCACGATGATATCTGCTGTGATTGGGCTCTGCATTATCTTGGCCAGTATAATGTATGTGTTTATCCAGTACTTCATCAATCCAGGAGCTCTTCGGGATCATCCTGCATTCTCAGGTTTGTTTTCACCGTCACATCTATTGGCATATTGAGCCTCGTGTTCAACAGAGGGCAAATGCCTCCTGACTTTAAAAAAAAAAGTCACTGAGCTGACGTTCCAGCAATTAAATGTGATTGACACATCACAGTTGTCAACAAGCTTAGATATGATGTATAAGTTTAAAGTACGATACATCATGAGGTCCCAGGATGGAGCCAACCATGTATTCTTGTGTAGTAACTTTTCGTTATTACGTTATAACGTTATTAAGTGTGTTGTTAAAAAAGGATCATGTACAGTTGAGCCATTTGGAAATTAACAAAATGTATCTTTTTTTCTTTTTCAGAATTGAGTGGTCCAAATGAATGGCTGGTGTTCCTGCCATCTGCTCCTTTGCGCATGAGTGGCATTAGTTTTATCATCTTTGTTGGGGTGACAATGTGTTTTGATGCAATTTGCTGTATATTGATAATGCAGCTGCTTTGCAACCACTTTTACCTATGTAAGTAATACACCCTAGCAGTTTACTGCATACCCTTAAGGTCAAGTGTGTTCAAGCTATAGATAACCAGTATTTACAAGACTTGCCCATAAATGAATTAGGAGTAAAACTATTTGAGTAAAACTGTGTCTATTATTATATATGTTTTTAAGACAAGCGAATAATTTAATACAGTCAAACCTATTTCTGGTTCTTTCGGTAAAGTCACGTAGAAGGGAAATAATAAAATAATATTAATATAAAACAATAAAAATTCTCACGACGTTTCGACTGCAACACAAGCAATCATCATCAAGTGTGAAAATATATTATTTAATAATATTATTGATATTATTTTATTATTTCCCTTCTACGTGACTTTACCGAAAGAACCAAGAATATGAATCCCTGCAGTCACGAAAGCTTAAAATCAACAGTCAGACCTCTTTCGTCACCAATTTTTCCTTTCCCGAAATTAATTGTTCGCGATATATATTTGTATACCAGTTTAACTTTCGCACCTTTTTCCTTGGACCATTCACGGTTTGGCAGCATCTCATCATGGGGGCGGGGCACTGTCGTAGAGCAGTGGATTGGCCCGTGCGCTACAAAATGCTGAAGCTTTTACTCTTCCATTGCCTTTTGTGCTTTTTCTTCTGATTTGTGGGTAGGGTTTTACTTCGATCATGGGGACTAAGCGTCAAGCGAGAGGAGGAACTGAGAGCAAGAGTAAAAAGGCAGAAAAAAGTGATAAGCTTAGCTCAAAAAGTACAATTGTTGGATAGACGTGCTATCGCGTGTGTGCTCTTGGCTGCCGTTACATGATAAACGAGTCAACAGTCAAATGTATTGAGAAAAACGAGAGGGCAATTATGGAAAGTGTAGCGGCAAAAGTAGTAGCATCACACCCCCATCGTTCAAGGTCAATAAAGCTTCCAAATTAACAGTATAATTGATTACGTGTTTTGTAGCGTGTTATCTATTCGAATGTGTACAATTTAATTAAGTGGATGCTATTTATGTGTACAGTACAGGATTAATGTTACGAAACGTTTTCTCCCCAATGTTTAGTCGGACACGGCAACCTAACCCCATTTTCTCCCATATAGCCATAGCATCTACATTCGCGAATTCTACTTTCACGCAGATTTTCAAGAACCTAACTCTTGCAGATGTGAAGGCCTTACCGTACTCATTTCCTTGGATAGTTGCTGCCAAAATTACACTAGAGGGCAGTGTTCACACACACAACCTAGATTCAAGAAATTCAGTAGTGTTCATTGTTTTTTTTATAATGGACTAAGCTTTAATAGCGCAGTGCTCCTCCCTTATAAGTACCATCTTCATCATTGATACATGAAGTCTACTGGCAGTGTGCAATATATTTATTGCAACTGTAAATGTACTATCGTAGTTATTTTTTTAATCTATACACGGAAATGCACACATGCCAGCTGTCACTAAGGGAGAATGTATGCTTTTACTGTGAAATGAGAAGTCGGTTAGGTCAAGAGATTGCAATGACCGATAGTATGGGATTTCAGCTGGGACACGATGTGAATTGACCTCTGATGAACTGCATAAATGTGGAGTGCCTCCTGCTGAGCATCCATTGATGTCTGCAGTGACAATACCATGCAGTATGTTATTCGCCATCCTCAGCCAAAGAACTGTACGAGTACATTTAATGTATTGGCATGCATAGTATGCCACTGGATAACTTGTTAAACTAATGAGACTTGTAAGTTAAATATACATTTCAGCGGTGCTGAGACTGAGCTCATTCGCTCAGCATTGCGTGTGACACCTCACTGGCCGTTGTGTACGGCAGTCTACCACAGGATAACCACATATGACTACATTGTGCTGAAACGCAATGAAAAGGAACGTCAGAAGAGAATCGTGGAAGAAAGGGCGGCCAAGGCTCAACAGACCAATTCTCATGGCATTGAGGTAACCCAGTATTTCCTTTCAAATTATACCAAATTGCACATGTGCCCAACTGGCTTACCATTTGCATAGGAGACAAACGTAATTGAATTATTACAGTGTCTACAAAAAGACTGATGAATATGGTTGCAGTGTTGGATTGGCGTTAATGCTAAACGCATCCTTTCTGCATTGGAATAAACTCTTGATAGTCATACCAGGCGAACGGTGATGAGCTCTACACACTGATAGACTTGTTTTTACATGGATTGGTACAAGTAATGCGATGCAAAGCAAGACACATTTTTCAGTCTTAATTTGTACTGTTCCGCTTGTATATATTTTTTTCTCTGTCTTTCAGCTCGTATATTTGCCTATGATTTGAATGACTAATGCATGATTCGATGCATCTTTCGTGAATATAAGAATCTATTTTAATCACTAAATCAATCTATCGTTAGATATGCCCACATGCCTGGGTGGCTGTTTTATTTTGTTTTACTTTAACTAATCAACCGTTGTCAAAAATGGGTTAAACAAACATTTAGCATTTGTGAATTAAAACACAAAGGACCCCACCCAGCATGACCTCATTGTTTAATATGTAGCATCGATACACGTGAAATCAATACAGCTTTGACATTTTCCCAGTGTTGGATTGTCAACCAACACTGGGTAAAACAACATGTGCATTGTCGTTCTCTTCTAGCATGTGCACCTTTAGCATGTGCACCTGTTGTTCTCTTTTAGCCCCGCCCCCCCCCCAATACGTTCCATTCATTGACTACCACATTCAGATAAGCCCCTCCCCCCTTAACTTGTATTTAAGAACTTGTATCTTGGAATTTCTGCCTCACTTGATACAGTAAATCTAGCTGTGACGGTCCCACCTGATGACGGAGACTTGTGTTGCCTCCGAAACGTCTCGTGATTTATTATATTATTTCTATTATTACTTTTATTAATTTAAATTAAATTTTTTACCTACATGACTTTACCGAAAAAACCTAAGAGTATGAATCCTTGCAGTCACGAAAGCTTGAAATCTAGAATTTCATGTAGACTCTGTGATCGAGTGACAATATTGTTTGCTTCCGAAAGCAAAACAACAGATACACACATTGGCTGCTTGCCAGGTATCTTGCCCCTTAGCCAGAGAAGATGATCAGCACTCGTGTTACTTCACCTAACTGCTGCCTATCTAGTTATTTGATAGACCTTATTTTTAGTCACTGTTAGCACTTAAGAGAAACACTGTACAACCGTTTACTTCTGCAGTGTGCTGTCACCATGGCACACGTTGGACTGACTCACCCGCACTTTTTTTTGGGGAATTTAAATGAGCGTGGTGAGAAATTTGGGCAGTATTATTATGGCGCAGCTTCAATGGCACAATGGATGCCTTCTCCGAGTATGACACCTGTTTTTGGTCACGCGTAGAAAAACAGTATTATGGCACCAGAATATTTTAAAATGAGAAGATAATTCGATTGAACTTGATCAAACCTTTAGGCAAGCATGCTAATTCTGCAGGCCAAGCAGCCTGATTGCCTCATGTTCCAGGCTCGTTAATATGTTTTTAATTGTCCTGTGCACGCACGTTAAAGTGTGGCATGTACACATACACGTTTTTTTTATATCATTGCTGTGCATGAAATATGTCAATAAAACTAAATATCAGCAAAAATACTATGCATGTAGTATATGGCACATTGCACAAATAAGAGGCTTCCTTGATGGTAAAATGAAAAAAGACCAATAACCTTTTCCCCCAAATTTATTTATAGTTTTTTTTACATATATAAAGCATTTCCAAAGCATTGCGTTTCCAAATAATAAATAAATAGACCAAGTAACATTTAAAAAATGTGGAGGGCCCATCTACATAACCAGTGTACAACGACGGAAGCAACAAAGACGAGTCAAACAGCAGGCTGGAGCTCGTTTCTAAGGGAATAGTTTTGTTTATTTACTTGGCTGGCAAATGATAGACATGTCCAAGGTCAACAAAAATATATTCATGATGTTAGTTTAAAATTGGCTTTTATTGTTTCACGTGGGTGGGGGGGGTCATGTTAGGAGGGATATGGTGCCAATAAAGAAGGCATCGGACAGTTTTAAATACATTTACTGTGAATTTTTTCATAAACCTTTTAGAGTCAAGATGCATTTTTGGTTACATATGGATTGCAACACTTTCCTAGGTGTGCTTTGAATAAACTCCTAAAAATAAACAAGTACTGAAAGCATTGCTTTTTGTTGCTTAGCGACAGTCATAACTGTTACATTTGCACGAAATTTGGTTGTGTTTGGACAACTGCTGATGATGATTATGTGGTCGTTATTTCTGATGAATGCTTTGTTCAGCTGGGATTGATCAGTTATTGTTGTTTTGTGTGGCTAAGTGCTGTCCAGCTCACATTTCACACAACCGTTGCTTAACATTGAGTCCGTAAACACGGCCACACAAACAGGGTTTAATGTTGCTCAGATTACCACACTGTAATATGATTAAACAGCCCGTTCAAACAGCTGTTAGACGTAACCATTTTGTAAAAAATATAATCTTGTTATGTAGTGCACACCAGGTATTTCCTACACATGTGTGAATTAAAATCTTCAATCATTCTGACTATTAAAAGTTTTGCCCCCAAGAGCCTTTGAAAATAATCATGTAAGAAAACAAATTAAAAGACAGTGTGATATAATTGACACTTAGAATGACAATAACACTGAATAGTATATAATACTGCTGAGTGAAAAACATTGGTTGATTCTTGTTTTGAAAGGAATATATGTTTTAAATTTGGCTGGAAAGCTCTTTCAATTTGATGTTCATTTTCCGTGTTTCAGAATGCTAATCGTGGTGCCCCAATTGCAATCAATATGGACTTTCCAAAGCAGCTGGTTCAAGGACAAAAGCAAGTATTTGTGGAAATCTAGTTTGTTTTTCATGACATGGATCACAAATTAAGTCATTCACAAAGAAAATGGAACAAAAACTGAGTAGTATGCAAATAAGCATAATAGATGCATGCTTGGAATTATGATTAGAGACAAGAGGAACACATGTATTATACAACGGATGCAGATTGACTAACTATGAAAAATAAGTGGGGCTGGGTAAGATACGGTGTGAGAAAGGATGATAACTGATTGGCAGGAATAATGATGGAGTGGCAGCCGAGGGATGGAACGCATCGAGAGTATGCCCGCTCAGGAAATAGAGTAATGAAATAAGCGCGTGTGCAGGTCCTCGATGGATTGTTGCATCTCGGTATTATGGGAGATGGTGGCAGTGCGGGGAGGCCTTTAACCCACAGTTGATTGATCATAGCTGATGATGATTGCAGTTTGTGAAAATAATTTTTATGTAACACTTTTTCATGGGGCTCAAAACATTATGTATAGCCCAGACCAATGGGATTGAGTGGCAAAGTGGATTTTATTTTTCGATTTAAAGCTTTCGTGACTGCAGGGATTCATCTTCTTGGTTATTTTGGTAAAATCACGTAGAAGGGAAGTAATAAAATAATAAAAACACTACCAAGCTTGGTAGTGTCTCATTCTTCACCTGAAGACGGCTGCTTGCGTTGTAGCTGAAACGTCGTGAGAATTATTTTATTTTATTATGTTTTATTTTTATTATTTTATTACTTCCCTTCTACATGACTTTACCGAAAGAACCAAGAAAGTGGATTTTGGTAAGTTTTCTTGTGTTTCGTATTTGTACAATCATGTCAGGAAATATTAAAAGGGCCAAAATTAACAATGGTCTTCGGAAACGTTTTTTGTCCACTCTGGGTATCTCTCCAAGAAAGCTGATCTACACGTTTTGCCATGGAGATACGCAGAAGGGATATTACAAGGTTCCACCTGATAGCATTCACCCATTGATCTTCCACAAGCACTGAGCTGTTCGTTGTTTCTGGAGAAAAATTGATAATATTGCAGTGTTCAGATATTGAGAACATAAATTTGATCCACGTAAGAAGTAGCTTTATCTTGGGTTATATAAGACATTTTATTTTGCCAGCCCCAGCAATAACCACTCCTGTTTCATAATCCACAGCATATGCATGGAATGTCAGTGGCAGCATTTGTTATGATCACCAACAACAATTTATTCACGGACATAAAGCCACAGAGGCACCAATGTAAAACTTCTCAAATAAAGCGAGATCTGTGTGGGGTTGCTATGGAGATGCGATCAGGATTATGTTGAGGCTGCCGGTCCTGCGTGATCATAACGCATACACAGGAGTGCTGGCCGGGCGCGTGTTGCTTGATTCCCGAATTCGGACATGCTGTGCAAGGGAACAGCTGCTCCGTGTGGAGGCAAAAGCGACGGTATGGGTTACACTGAAAAGCACGCCATCGTGGGCCTGGGTAAGCTGCAGAAATTGTAGTGTCATGAGCTAAAAATGGATGTGCTCCGAGGGAGAGGGGTGGACACGGCCAAACTGTCACTGTGCAGTGATTTCAACCATATTGCTTCAATATTCACTTAGATACGTAAAAGTCATGCGTTGGTTATGTTGAGCGCAGTGTTTGTAAAATCTGACATGCCAAATGTCAGGACAGCTATGAATTGCCAAAGTGCTATCGTACTCTTTGGCTTCTTAACTATTTTGGAAGCTCGTGTACTACACAGGGAATGAGATAATGTAATTCTTGCAAGCAGGATTGCATTTTTCTTAGACAATGTGTTGTGTAAACATTTATACCGAATAATTAATCTTGCAAGCTGCTACCAATAGTTGATGTTACAAGTTTTGGTAGTTTTTTTACAATACTGACCTTTTTTATGCCTTTGCTGTCTGTTGAAACATAACTTAACTGCTGCATGTCTATGAAATGCATGAAGGATTCTTAAGTCTAACAAATAGATCACTAATAAAATAAATCTGGGAAATGTGTCCGTAATTATAATACATTTAGCAGCAGGGCCTTCAAGAGTGATTATATAGTGACAGATCCAAAAAGCAATTTTGTGCAGACCAAAGTGGTGTTTGGGCAATATTGTACAGTATGATGCTTAATCAAATCCTTACCAAAATATACACTGACGCAGATTACCGATGGGCACTAAAATTATTTTCCTCAAAATGTCTTGAGACTCTTCTAATAAAAACTGCAATGACCGCAGCACATTGATCACATATGGATGACAGTTTTGTTTGCTTTTCAAAGATATGATATGCAATTAAAAACTCAATAATTATCACCATCAGCCATTTGTCATTCCACTGCTGCGTAAAGTTTAGTATTCTATAATCAAATTGATTTGGTCAATACCACTTGATGTATAGAATATGGTGACATTGATAAAAAAAAAACATTACATTTGTGCATCATACTATTAAAAGCTTCGAGCATTTTAAACTCACACTCCTCGTTTGTGGCTCAGTGGCAGAGCGAGTGGCTCGCAATCACAAGGTTGTGAGTTAAATTCTAGGTTGGACGTTGATAGCCCATCTTCCCTCTGGGGTTAATAAAATCAGTATCACTATTTTAGGGAGATCAACAGTGGTTGTAGACCCCCCCCCCCCCACCATAGGAATGTCCCACAACTGTAGACATGAGATGACCATTACCTTCAATGCCCATTTGAGCAGGAAATCACGTGATGTGTTTTGACCTCATTGTTAATGTACAGGATTATGACAATGGTGGCTCATAATGATTTGACTGCAATGAAAAAACCCAGCGGTAATGTTTTATCATGCGAATTAAAATATGTTCTTCAATGTTGTACTTGTTTTAATTCAGCTTATGCGTATATACCTGCCCATAAAGTTACTATTGCATTTGAATTAAACATTACAGATTAGCAGGTGGGCAGAGCAGTATAAATCAGATTTTGACTTAAATCTTTCGTGACTGCAGGAACTCATATTCTTTGTTCTTTCGGTAAAGTCACGTAGATATAAAAAAAATATTTTTATTTTTTTTAGCTTTTATTATTTTAACATTTTTTATGTACATTTTACATTTTAATCTTTTTCATTTTATCATTTTTAGATTTTTTAGTTTTTCTATCTACGTGACTTTAACGAAATAACCAAGAATAGTATAAATCAGAGTTTGCACACTATGGGAATTTTATTTCATGAATTTAATTCCTTGTGCCAGTTTCATGAACTAATTAGTTTTTTCTTCTTTCTGGCAAGTGCACCATGTACTGTTATATAAGTAGCACATGTCCAATTCTAAACAGACTGAAACGAAACTCCGGAGTAAATGATGCATAGTGTGACATTTTGCACAAGTTGGAGCCTTGTTCTTCGCGAACATATATTCAAGCTTATAATCATAAGTCAGTGATAATAATGAAAGTCTCATCGTACAAAGTATTGAAGCTTTATTGAATAGTGCTAATGATGAACATAGTTCGCAGTTATATAAAATGTACTATGATATGGCAGAGGCTTAGCAGTGTCTGTGATATTAGCCTGTGCTGAGTGTGCTCAGGACGTAATACATTGTCCTCTGTCCGTAATGGTGCAAACTGCTGCTGAGCTGCATTAAATTAAGCACATTTATTTTTTGCCAAAGCAAGGAAACATGCCTATTAAGGTGTTTCTTAGCTGGCTGTTGCTCATTGGATGAATGCACCAAAATAGCCATCGACTGAACAGTTTTAAATGCTTTAATGTAACTAAGTAAATTCCGTTATTTTTTGCCATGTAATTTTCCAGCGTATTTAGAAGTTAAATGTATAATAAAAAAAAACTGTGCTGTCATGTATGCACTTACACTCAATGATACTAAGTTGGGATGAATGAAGAACTGTTTATTTCATTTTTCAGAGAAGCTTCTAAGGCAAGAACGGATGAGAGTAGCAAACATCTGGCTCTGCCACCTGCCCAAGCGTCTGCCCAGACCTCCTGTCACGTGGTAACAGCACCAAGCTTTTTTTGTTTTGTTGTGATGCATCACACACGCGTTGCTATTTTCATGTATGTTGCAAGTGATTTTCAAAGTCGTATTGCATTCGTTTTTTCCATACCCTCCCTGGAAAAGGAATTTTAAAAATGCCTGTACTGTATTTACTGACATGTCAATGACAGTATTGTACGAAGTTTTTTGGAAAAGATTTGCATGGCTTGTGTGCTTGAGTATTTTGGAGTAAATGGGACCTTTGTGTTGTGTATTTTATATGGTGATGTAGTTTGTCAGAATTGCTACACTATGATCCCAATTGTTCGGTTATGAGTGATGATCGTGCATAATAGCAGTGGAGGTTGATATCTGGAACGTCCTGTTGGTTTACTCGGCCTAAAAATGAGTACCTTGTGCAATGTGTCAGCATTATCAGTCAGTAAATGTGGCTGGGTTAGGTCCTGCTCCTACCAGCATTTGCTCCAACATTTGACAAGCATAACTTGACATTTGTATTTTTGTATACTTTAGGTTCACGAAAATAGGAAGAGTACCATAAGTATCTCATCCAAAAGCTCATTGGATAAACAGCGAGAAATTTTCAACAAAGGTACTTAATTTAATAAAATAATTTCATACGTTCACAATACACACCAAATCTGTTTCTGAGAATCAGTTATTTTACAATGAATGATTTTTCCTTACCCAGCTACCGCTGAACAATGCTGTTGTCACACCCCGACTCAACAATTGCAATTCTCTCCTCTCCATTCTCATCTCCAGACAACCTAAATGCAATTACTCGCACCCATAAACAAGACTACGTCATCTTAATTCCTTCCACTGGCTCCCACATCAATGCCAGATCAATTGCAAGATTGCACTTACCGTCTTCAAGCTTCTCCATGTACCCACCCCCTGGCTAACTCTCTCCACTCTCATCTTAATCTACTCTCCACAAATTCTCCACCCCAGCAACTGAGGCTTTCTGTCAAAGCCCCGAGCGTCCAACCTTTGCTCAGAGGGAGGTCACTCATTCTTTGCTACGCCCACAGTCTGAAACTCACTTCCCCTACCATCTGTGCTGTCAACTTCCTACCCTTGTTAAATTTCAGGCTCAAGATGTTCCTTTTTTCTCTGCCTATGACTGACTGCCTCTGTCTCTTCGTTATGTAAATGACCACTATTTCTTTACAGTGTCTTGAAATGTTGTTGCTTTTAGTTGTTATATAAATCCAAATTGTATTGATTTTTTTTATTTTAATCATTAAATTGTTAATGCAAGCCAATTAACAAGAAGAGAGACTGAATTTTGCCAATCTTTCTATTCCTGATTTCAAGAAGACATCCTCAAGGTGACTTGTATTTCTGAGGTTCAGAAACCACAAGATTTGTCCAATTGTTACACTGCCGCAACACAAAAACTGTGTGTATTTTACTTATAGTGCCGGGCTATGTATGGTATTATCCACTGGTGGCGCAGTAAACAGCACGTCATGTTACATATGCGGCAGCCTGCGTTGTGATTTCCGGTTATAGCTAACATCAGTGGCAAGTGATAGTTCTGGACCCCATTCACCAACCCACATTCGTCAGCATGGTGAAGTATCGTCAAAAACCTCTGGAGCCTACGCCGTGCCTTTTCACACACCCATTACTCATCGTCTTAAATGCACACGCCCATCACTCTTGGAACTCATTTAAGGTTGTGAAATTAATTAAAGCCAGCCACCTGGTCATGTGACCTCAAACTGCACTGCCGGCCTATATTAACTTGTGATGTTTATTTATTTCAGGTTCATCTGCAGCTGCTCATGAGGGAAATTCAGAAGCCCCTTCCTACTTTTCCTACCATCATGGTGCGCCTGTTAGCCTTCGAGTCAAGGGTAGTTTAACAGCATGCAGAAGCTTAAGACAAGGCAGTTTGACTTAATTTTTTTGCTTCTAGAAAGAAAGAGGAATGTCTTCTAAAATGTTCGATTTTGATTGCTATCCAGGTCATGTAGCAAGCAATTTGCTGGAACAAGCCAGGCTGACTTCAAACATTGCATACAGAACTGGGAGTTTTTCAGAAACCCTGTGTGAGTGCTAGCAGCCCGAAGATGAAAAGAATCAAAGAGGGGTGGGATTGAAAACACAATTCAGACTCCACTGTTCTCAGCAAGGCAAGAGGAGATAAGCGTTTGACTGTGTTAACTACTGACAACAGTCTACTAGTAAAGAGTGCTTACCTCCAACACTACCAAGTCATTGGATGATATTCGGCTGCATAATATTGGAGCAGGAATTGATGTTAACTGATCTGTTTGTGCTCGAGTCTGCTGCCGACGTTGAAACTCATTTAAAGTCCCGTGTAACTGCCAGTGCAAGTGAGAGACTTGTGGATAATTTTACGTGGCAGGGAAGGTAAGGTGCAGGGTCTTGCAAATGATAAGGAAAGAGAAGACTTTGGAAGTCCAGCAAATGTGAAATGTATGCACGTAAACAATATTCCGGACAACGCGGTACGATAATGAGGCCAGCGCGCAATTGTCACCGCCACCGTTTGCTTAGCAAAAAAAAAATCTACGGAGCAAAGTGTACAGCATGAACTGAAAATGGCATCAATGATAAGAGTGTTTGTGCAAGCGACATAAATCAACCGTGCATTATAGTTCCTGCAAGATGGTGTGGTGGACTTGTGTCGTTTCAATGAAGATGACTGCTCTTCACAGGGGAAAACTATAAGTTCGCTCTCCTTCGTCACTCCCAATATGAGCAAAGGAAATTGTCCAGGGTCTCTTCTGACAAGTGTATGTGCCACTGTGGTTATGTGGCCTGGCACAAGCGTCATGGTGACGTCACCGCCACTTAGTGGCGAATGGCGGTTGTGGTTATGTGGACAAAGGGACCATATGCACTGATGCAACTGTTCAGGTCGCAGGGTGGATTTTTAGGTGAGATAAAACTCAATTCAATATTTGCAATTAAGAAGACAATGGAAAGAAGTTCATCAACTGAATCGTAATTTAAAGACACTTCGGGGAAAAGCTATTTCAAGCTGGATGCTGGCCATTCATTAAATCACTTACTCAGACACTTGATATACAGACATCTTCCAAGCTTCAAATGGACTTTGGCTCTTCCGCTGAGAAATTATGCTTAAACATACTCATAGTTAAAAGTCTCACTGCTCATAGTTGGTACAAACTGTTGCAATTATTCCTAATGTTTTCCTTTTAGATACATAGTTGAAAATAATATAAAGTGTCAATTGTTACAATTCAGCAATTTTATAATACTGCACTATACATTTTTAGGAGAATCGTGATAACATAAAAAGGTACGGTACAGGGATTTGTCTTTACCTTGCATAACCATTTTTTTTAAGCTTGGATAAATAATACTTTATGCGCACTTGGGGCACAGTTTATATGCCTTGCAAATATTGTTAATTGCATCTCCTTCAAACTAAAAAGTGCAAGTCTCACCACTTGGTTTACCGTAATCATTAGTGGCTTAGATTCAAACCCAGGAGCTCAGCAGTGACAGCTTATAGAATTAAAATATATATTAAAATAATTTTGAATTGATAGTGGTGTAGAAAAAAAAACACCCTACCAATCATGGACAGCAGATGGAGTGTGTGAACACATGATTTTTAGTCTGACGGTACGTCGTTGGGATTTCTATACTGGGACAGAGGCAGATTGAAACAGACAATAAAAATATAATTTTAAAATTGTATAGAGGGACAAGGAGATATACATAGAGATCAATTCAGACCGGTTACTTTAAATTTAGGCTTTTCCAAACTCCAGGCCTCGAGTTCTCAAACACATGAAGTCATATGCTGCATGCATCTGAGGTGGGGAGTGTTGATTGTAATAAAGATAGGATCTTGTTTTTATTCAGTGTTCTCCGTAAGGGTTTTCACATTGGGGAAAAGATCAATGACCATTGTTCAACCCAAAGTGTATTCATTTCACCATATAACTGCCAGGTGAAACATTTTAAAATATACCTCCCAGCGGTAATTATCAGGATTCTACCGTATTGCGCTGCATTTAACACACTTTTTATTTAAAAGTTTAAAAAAATACATACAAAATGCAATTCACCAATCACGATGTGCCTTTGACTTCAGATGTGGGAGATGCCCACTTTTGTGTCAGCTGCCTTAAAAAGGTGTGAAGAACCAAATAACTTACACTGTCAGTCTATGCAATTGTATATGCTGTACTGTGAAGAAAATACATACTTAAAGCACTTTCATTGAGGACTGCAATTTATTTAGTTGACTGCTGATATATGGAAAATACATTTCAAATCTGTTAAATGAATGTGCCAAATTATTCTTGATTTCTTTTTAGATTTTGAGGTTGTATAAGGATGCACTGATGACTTTGTGATGCTGTGTGAGCATTGAGTCATTGTTTCCAATAATGTAATTATTTCTACGTTGCATTTGAAGAGAATTTGCACTTTAAAATAATTAAATGGCTTTTTTTTTACACGAGACATTTTCCACGTTGAAAACATTCTTATAGCTTATGCATTCCAAAATAAAATGATTTGCTATGTCATTGTAATTCTATATATGTATATCAAATGCGTTGATTAACATTTTTTACGCAATCAACAGGGTGTAATAGGTTACCACTCAAGAGTACATGATCATGGTTTGTATTTGTGCATCTGAAAACAGTCACCAATGAGAACTTGTTACCTTGCTATGTTGTTTGAAGTAAACTAATGGTAACATTTCAGCTTGTGTGAAATCACTTCCAAACACACCATTGTAGATATGCACATAGATCATGATGAACTTAACTACACACATTAGATTTTGATTTAAAGCTTTCGTGACTGCAGGGATTAATATTCTTGGTTCTTTCAGGTAAAGTCACGTAGAAGGGAAATAATAAAATACTAAAAAATATTAAACAATAACATTCTCACGACGTTTCGACTGCAACATAAGCAATCATCATCAGGTGTGAAATCCACAGCAAGAAAATTTGAAAAAATAATTATTTGCTGTGGATTTCACACCTAATGATGATTGCTCGTGTTGCAGTCGAAACGTCGCGAGAATTTTATTGTTTTATTATTTCCCTTCTACGTGACTACCGAAAGAACCAAGAATACACACATTAGATTGAATAAACGTTGTACAAGTTTCATCGAACAAGACCGGAAAGTAAAAAAAAACGACAAACGATTTACTTTTCATTTTCTTTGAAATGATATCATGCTTATCAATGTTAATGAGCGGTGGGTAAGAGTTGAGAATTTATAAAATAATCTTCGTTCTGTGGTTCACTCTTATAATTCCTCAAATATACATGTTCTATAATTAAAAAAAAAGAAGGTAAACACTTTATAGCAGTTGAAATATCTTTAAGAAATTCAAATCCAACTGAGAATCGGCTTTTTCTTGGATTATATGTCAATTCAAATGCTATTTAAGGTGACAGACATTATGGTGGTAATCTTGATATAGCAAATGCTAATTTACTGTGCAGCATGGATGTATTAAGGCTTTTCTACGTAACTATTTATATATTACATTGATTATAAGGTATATCTAAACAATGGTGTTTAAGAATATTTGCATGGTTTTCAGATTTACAATTTAAGTTGGGTTGTTTAGATACCTTTTGTGGCACACTGCAAAATGCAAAATGCAGCGATGGCCACAAATCTACTCCGAAAAGATAGAGGTGCAAAATAGCAAAGTAATAGAATGACTTTAATGTCCTTTTTGCTTGCCTGGATAATTTTATAAAAACAACAGGGTCTTTAAACAGTCAACTATTGGGGTTTATTACTTGTTGTATGGGCTCCGGGCATTAAATTAGGACCACATGCCATTGTATGAAAGTCATAGGCAGCCAAAGTATGAGGACTTAAGTGTATCCATTAATCTGCATTGTCTAGCTGTGATATGAATTCCATATGCAAAAGTTAGAGCCCTGCTGTACTGCAAAGTTTGTTTTGTAACAATACAATGTTTGTGTACTATGTGCTTGAGTCCTCTGATATTTGAATACGTTTGAGTCCTCGACACTGTTTAGAGCAATAATCGTTGATACCCCCCCCCCCCCCATATATTTTATTGACATTTGGGAATGGATGTGTGCTACATAACCACAGTGTATTGTATTGGTAGTAGATAAATGAGGGATGAGGAATGCTGTTTTGGAACCATTGCTCTGACAACAATATTAATGTAATTCCAAATAGCCTGGCATGGCAAAATACATTAACCCTTGGTAGAGAGGACAGTGGAAAGTCGGAAAGTGGTGTTTATGTTGGCACAATCATCTCATTCAGCAAACCATTTTGTTTGGAATCTATAGTCACTGTACCAAGCTCTCGAATGTGTGGGAGATTGGAAATGGGACAGCATGCACCATACATTTGCCCTGTTGTCAAGAACATTTATTGATCCATATTTGTGTTTTTGGGTAAAGCCACGTGGTAGACATGTCAAAATAACATACATTTGAAGGGAATTACATTAAAGTAGCCCTGATGTGCAGGTCAATATTGCCAGTATTTAATCAGCTATATTATATCCACATTCAGAGTAAAACTTGGATTCTTAAGCATATTAATTTGACCGCGTTTTAAATTATTGGACAGAAAGTATGATGTGCATCTTAAGTTCTAAACTCCACACTACCATCACTGGCTAATAGAGCTTGCGACTTTAAACTTATATACCATACATGGTATTAGATACTGTAACCGTATATACAAAACATATTGAAAATACAGTTTGTTATTCTAGGAAGACTATGGATTCGACATTGGAGTTAGCCTGTTATGGGTCACGAAAAATGAAGTCCGAAAAAAACCTTGCATAAATTGTGACCCACAAGCATTATTAGTAGAATGTAAAACAAACAAGGAAGACACATGCAAATGAGTTGATTATCACGATTTACAAGATCTCTACAAGCTTTAAATGCTTGAATGCGTACTACCCAATTTGATAGAAATGTAGACTTACGAAGAAAATGGAAAGTGTGCAAATTTAAACTGCGAAAATATAAATGTGCAAAAGTAGCATGTATAGGTGGATACTTGGAATTACCTTGAAAGACATAAACACACGCAAGCAGGTCAAATGTATCATGAGGACTTAATAAGAGTGGGCCTGGGAACAACACATCACTATCGGAGATGATGTCTGATGAACTAGATTTACGTTGGAGTGGAAACTAAAGGTGGGTTCTCTGCTGACACGCATCAATGACCCGCTAAAAGGTGGATCAATTAGATGGCAGTGGCAGCCAAAGAAGAAATGCACCCAAGAGGACGTACACCACGGAGATGGAGCAAAGAATGCATCAGTCTGGGAGCACGTCCTGGGAGGATCGTTATATTGCGGGACCGTGGGGAATGGAGGTGACTGAAAGGCCTTCATCCAGCAGTGAATTATGGTTGAAGGACAACGTTATTTTGCGAGCTGCAAAGGATGATGTCAAACAACGTTTGTGACGCCACCACCTTGGCCGAAAAGGCTTTAAATGCGCCGTGTCGGGGTAGAAGCAATTCAAAGTACCCGCCAAACATACGGGAACATATTGTAGCATGTGCGTATGACGTGAGACGTCAACAGTCTGGCCGAGAAGACTTTCGCTGGATTATATTGCAAAGTTTTCTGTAACCCCCTGGATCAATTTGCCCGGTTTTGTCGACGGTAAATTCCTATTAGCAAACACAACCTTACAATAATAAAATAAAATGAATCAAGCCAAAATGCTTGATTTTATGTGAACATAAATACAAGCTATCATATTGTATACACTGTTTAGAGGTCATGTTGCAGTAGTATATTGCAAAAAAAATTACATCTCAGTAAACATGGAATGTTGGGTTAATGTTGGTCCAACTGTTCCAAGCAAATACGAATGCTGGTCCAATACAGCATGTTTACCGGGATTGTGTGTGTAAAGTAATATATTACGCGGTGAGCCAACTTCAGTGTGCTTCATTAAACAGCACTGCCGCTGAGATTCAGTCCACATATACTCAGTGGTTGAATACTGCGCTTTCGTCTGGACGTGCAAAATCCACAACAATGCTGCTGAGACGAAACTCAATGCCACTGATTCGTACCATAAGTGGGACATTAAAATCAACGCCGATCGACTGGCTGCCAATCCTGTCCCTCGTTCATCCATCCACCCAAAATATCTTGTGTCAACATGAGTCCAAACCTACCGATTCAAAAGGACCTGCAGAACTTCCCACAGTCTAGATTAAATTCCCACAAGCCACTTTTGGATCGTCGAGCACAGACTTAAATGAATGATACATGCCCATCGACTAACATCGGGAAAACAATGTCCATAGTCTTAGTCTATGGGCATCCCAGTGTCAACCTATGGGTATTTTTTTTTGCATGTAACCCTATGGGCATTCTTCTTCATGTCAGCCGATTGGCATTCGTTTGTTAATGTTAGTCTATTGGCTTTCCGTTTCATCAATGTTAGTCGATGGGCATCAGTCTCAATGCCATTCACATTTTTGAGACGTTAAAAATCCCTCGACATCATTTGCAAGACTATAGGCCACCGCGTGCCGGCGCCATGATCCGAATTACCAAATTTGAAAAGCAACACCCCCAAATTACTTTATTGGAATATACATAGCAGTCGTCTGCCTTCACCTCCCGACAGCGAGGACTTGGCACGATGCTCCAGAGAAGGAATCGCGAGACTCATTGAGGCATTACTGTGTTAGCATGCAAAATACAAACTGAAAACATTTGCCCTCGTTCAATCGTGGGACACAGCGGACAGCAACCTGGGGCAAAGACAAAGATGATCTCCCTAGCCGCCTCCATAGCCTTAACAGACTGTTGGAGCAAGAGCTGTGAGCACTATACACTTGCACCACACACTACAACACATTCCTGCGGAGGGAGCTGGTAGGAACGTTGGGTTGCTCGGTCAACGGCCTGCAGGGTCAACGGCGGCGTGGTGTATTCCGCAAATATGGCCGACTGTGAGGGCGGGCACAAGCCGGTGTGAGTAGGTTAAACGTTGAGTTTTATAAGGACACGCCACACAAAATGCTAACGTAGGCGGCTAGGCCAGCTAGAAGGCTCCGGCATGTCAAAGAATACGCCCAACATGGCAAACTCGAAATGTGATTGGTTAAGGAATATGACAATCAACATCGTCCCCATTTGCTTCAACAGCAGAGGGGATTCACTCGACATTCTGAAGGCCTCAGGGTGGAAAATCTGATTGGATAAAAGCTCGAATTTAGGAGCTGCACTGGAAACAGCCAACTGAGGGAAAGAGTAGCAATGAAATGACGTTAATAGACTGATGGGAACGAACTTTGTAAAATACATTTCGCATTATTGAACATTTTTATTAAATTATAAAAATATAATTTTCTGATTCTGACAATCTCTAGGCCAGCAGAGAAGGCCTTGCTGGCCCTCACGGCCCACCTCTGAGTTACACGTTTTATTGTGAGACCGTAATGTTTTTAGATATTTATTCATGAAAATAACATTGTACATGAACAAACCATTAAAAAAGAAAAGTTAAACAGTTACATATTGCGTAAGTATTTAATTTGAAAAGTTTTTAATGTTTTCCAAAGAAACAATACATTCTACTCTTTGGGTCTTTCGGTGAAGTCACAGATAGAAGAAGAATAAATACATTCTAGCTATTGAATATTTAAATCAAATAAAAAAGAAGCATGCTATAAATTAAACACATTATTTATTTTGGTAAAAAATATGTAGTCTCGTGTCCTGCCACTCATTATAATTGACAAATTAATTTCTTCCTGACAAAAACCAAACTGAAATTCCATGTACACGCGGAGACATTAAAAACATAAAACCAAAATAGGCACAAATAATATACGGTGCCAACCCTGGAACTAGTCTGCTTGTGAGACACGCATTGACAGATGGTACGGTAGTTGGCATGGCACCTGGCTGCATGATCATTATAGCTTTGACCTCTGTTGAGTACAGAAGGTTGCGACCTATTTTAGTTTCAATTGACCTCATTTGTCAAAACTTTATTGACTGAATGGATTTTAGATTTGAAGTTTTCGTGACTGCAAGGATTCATATTTTTTGTTTTTTTCGGTAAAGTCACGTAGGTAAAAAATGACGGATGCTTGTGTTGCTTCCGAAATGTTGTGATTTAATTTAGTTTTTTCATTTATTTATTTTATATATTTTTTACCTACGTGACTTTACCAAAAAAACAAAGAGCATGAATGGATTTTTTTTACAACTTTTTCTTTGTTTTTAATATCTTGCTCCATACAGTAATGTCTGCATATGCCATATTACATTACTATTTTGTTTGTCACTTTAATTATCGTTATTTCCAAATAACTTAGGTTATCAAGTACCTTTCCACTGATGTCTTTAAATTATTTGTGCTCCCTTTTCCAACACTCTGGTGATTGATTTGTTCAGTTTAGACCCATGCATACACAATGTGGGCAATAATTTATGGTTGACGAAAGCATAAACCATAATGAGAATTAAGGCTTGGGCAAATGTTTACTCTTTGGGTTTCTTCAATAAAACATTTTTATCGTGTCTATGTGGTTTAAAGTACTGCTGCTTTCATACAGTAATTGCCATTTTTTTAAAATAAAACATTTGAGTTATACAATGAATGGAAAAATCTAGGAATATAAATTAATAATAAAAAATGTAGCCTGGCCTGTTAGTGAAGTGAAGTTAAAACAGCTTTCAGGGATGCACAGCATATTAAAACAAATAATAGAAAAATATTCAGGAAAATGTGTCAAACGTGTCATCTCATAGCCATGTCAGTGCATTTGTTGACAGTTTCATTTCCTGAAGGAACACCGAGATGCCACGAGCACAGAGCATTAGAAACGAGAACATTGGTGCGGATATATGACATGTACGCGCAGTGTCATGTTCTCCTCGCACAGAGTGAAATTACACGCACCATTTTAAGTTATTTAAATAAAAATACTGTCATGCTCATCTATCATGCATTTATTGACACGAGGAGCGAATTAACAAAGACAACTCCAAACAAATCATGCATTGTGCAACAACAATATTTAAAAAAATGTGAAATATATCTCTGATCTCACAGATATTGTGTGATTTCACAGATGTGTTGAGCATTTATAGATGTGAGATCACCATTTGAAATATATCTCTGATCTCACAGATATTGGGCGCCCTCAGATTTTTGAGCATTAAAATCTATGAAATCACAAAATATCTTTGATCGAAGAAAAAACATTTATCTGTGGTCTTAGATATTGCGTGATCTCACAGATATTTTGAGCACTGAAATCTATGAAATCACAAAATATATTTGATGGAATAAAAAACATTTATCTGTGACCTCACAGATATTTTGAGCATTGATATCGATGAAATCACAAAAATATCTGTGATCAAACATAACACATTTACCTGTGACCTCACATATATGTTCATGTTGAAATCTGTGAAATTACTAAAAATGTATTTGATCAAATAAAACACATTTATCTGTGACCTCACAGATATTTGAACGTAGAAATCTCTGAAATCACAAATTATCTTTGATAGAATAAAACACATTTATCTGTGACCTCACAGATATTTTAATGTTTAAATCTGTGAAATCACAATATCTTTGATAAAATAAAACACATTTATCTGTGACCCCACAGATATTTGAACGTAGAAATCTCTGAAATCACAACAAATATTTTTGATAAAATATAACACATTTATCTGCGCCCTCACAGATATTTGAACGTTGAGATCAATGAAATCACAAAATAGCTGCGATCAAATAAAACAACCTCACAATAACTCCCAAAACAGTGAAGTTATCACTCTGTATGAGACCCCCCTCACACAGATATTTCGCTGAGCACAACGTTGCTATCATTGCAATTGTAACGTCTTAAATACGAAGACGACGACGAAGCAAGGAAGCAAGCAGAAGAAGAAACAAGTCAGCAGAGGAGGAGAAAAAAAAATGAAATTCCAGGCACGTCCGGTTGGGTTTTGCCTTTTGACTTTTCCGTGACGCACGGTAGGAGGAGGAGGTGGTGGGAGGGGGGAGGGAGGAGGCTGATCCAACTTGCCACGCTTAGCAAAAAAAAAACTACTAACAGAGATAACATTGTAAGAGACACACACACAGCTTGTGCACTAGTTAAAGTAGGCTAACTCTGTTCACAACCACACACAATCACACGTGTACACACACACACAGTCACACACGTGTACACACACACACGCGAACACGTGTGTACACACGAATGCGGTAGTGAGTTTGGACGTAGTCATATATAGGCTGGTCGCTTCCATAGCCGTGTACAACAAGTTATCTCGTTATACTCCGTGTTGTAAGTAACACACTCACACGAGGGTCACATGAACACGATATTTATATATCGATCGCAACAATACACACACAGCTAGAGCCGTATCGATACATTTTTATTTTATATCACAGCCGTACGTAGACTGTACACTACTATTACTGCTGCTGCTGTTGCTATACACGTTACCACACACAATATTACACGGTTTGTATATTGTTAACAACACACATATACACATTATATACACATTATATACACACATTATATATACACATTAGAATTTAGCGAAGACGAAGGCGTATGGCATAACCACGTGTACTGTACAGAACTACACTTACTACTGTTGCGTATATCGTTCACTTTTATAACAAAGGTGTTGTCTACAGGCATACGCCGTGATATTGTATATTATATAGTTATATTTTATATAGTTATCGTCATTCTTAGTGATAAACGACAGCACGAGTGCATCAACACGGCGGTCAACCCAACAAAGACGCTGACATCGCGAGACCTGAACACACTTTGCTCGCGATTACATTCACTACATACACGGTCACTATAACTTACACCATCAACTTACACCATCACACACTCTCACAAACACACTACACACACACACTAACACACATCACACACTAACACACACACACACCATCACACACACACACATCTATTATCACTAACACACACACACTAACACACACTAAACACACCATCGCACACCTACAAAGACCCGAACACTCCACAAAACACATCTATTTTCACTAATAAACACCACACACACACTACACACCACACTAACACACACCACACTAACACACACCACACTAACACACACACTAACACACACTAATACACACTACACACACTATCACACACCACACACTATCACACACCACACACACACTAACACCACACACACACCACAAACACACTAACACACACTACACACACTAACACACACACACCACACACACACTACACACACTAACACCACACACCACACACACACCACACACACTACACCACACACACACCACACACACTACACACACTACACACACCACACACACTACACACACACACCACACACACTAACACACACACACACTAACCACACACACCACACACACATACCACTACACTTCACACACACCACACACACTACACACACACCACACACACACCACACACACTAACACACACTACACACACTAACACACACATCACACACACACTACACACACTAACACACACATCACACACACACCACACCACACACACAATACACACACCACACACACACACTACACACACTACACACACTAACACACACATCACAACCACACTCCACACACACCATACACACACTACACACACTAACACACACCACACACACACCACACACACCACAACACACACACTAACACACACACACTACACACACACTACACACCACACACACTAACACACACACAATACACCACACACACACTACACCACACACACCACACCACACACACTACACCACACACTACACACTAACACACACACTAACACACACCACACACACTACACACTAACACACACACTAACACACACCACACACACTACACACACACCACACACACACTAACACACACACTAACACACACCACACACACTACACACACACCACACACACACTACACACACACTAACACACACAAACACACCACAAACACACTACACCACACACACCACAAACACACTAACACACACACACTAACACACACCACACACACACTACACACACACTACACTACACACACCACACACACACTACACACACACTACACTACACACACCACACTACACTACACACACTACACTACACACACTACACCACACACACACACTACACACACACTAACACCACATCGTATCTTGTTTCCTTCCTCTACAAACGTTGGCTGGGATAGAGGCGGTCTAGTTACGTCTCTAACAGCTACAAGAACCGTGAGTAGCAACATCACATGTATCACTGCACTGCGGCATCTTTGCCATTAGACTACTTCGTGTTAGAGATTTCGTAATGGAGTACATCATGGAAGGAAATGAAATGCTGTTAGAGTGCCTGTGTAAGTCTTCCTTGTTAAACTATGTGTCTGTGTGTGTGTGGCTTCAGGCTTCCACACTGTGTTGTTGTTGATGATGGTCTTGTTTCCTTGCTGTTTGCATGGACACATCGTTTTGAAACACTCTTGAGTTGCGTTTTCCCAGCGTTTGTTTGTCCTTACAGAGATGCCAACATCGTGATGATGGTTCAATAGGAGACAGTGCCGCTTGTAGAATGCAAACATCTCTGTGAGAACCTCTCTCTGTGTGTCTATAATCCTCATCAATTGAAAGCAAAGACGTGTTCTGGCTTTTAGTGTATTTGTGTGTACAAGTATTCACGCAAGCGGCAACATTATAGGGCCCACGTGCTCCAGACGGAGATAAGTTCTCTTGTTGGATACCACCAGAGTTGCAATAAACTTTAGTGTTTCCCACGTCTCCCACGTGGGAAATAACAACACCGAATCGTGTGTGTTGGCCACTTGAGATGAGTTGTGGTTATATGCTTCTGTTGTTGAGCCTATGAGTTGGTTTCGATTAAAGTATTTTGCGAGCTTAGGTGGAACCAATTTCGGCTTAACTAACAATGCTAGACCGTGGTCATGTTGACACATCTGCAGTACAGCACTGTACATGTTTACACATGTTATACGTGTACTATATATACATTAGTGTGCGTTTAGGTTGCAATTACCATACACTGATGTATTTTGTATGTGTGCATGGCCTGCAAAAATGTGAATGTATTCGGTAAAATTGTGTATACCTACAGCTGTTTGCAGTCTTACACGCACGTGTGTGTGTATCTTGTATAATGCAAGTGTGCACCATCGGTGTCCATATGGCTTGTACACATGTATACTGTATTTGCTGTGCGTCTTGTGTTTACATAAATCGTTCTCACAGTGCTCTGAGCGGCTTCGTGTCCTTGAGTTGTGTACTTGTTTTGTAAGTGGAGATACCGTAGGACGCATGCTGTTTGAAGTGAACGCACATAAATGTTAACTCGATCAAGGTGTTACATTGGACAAATGTCAGTTTTGGACCGATAGTGATGAACAATTCTATCTGGGGTACGTTACTATACCATGAAATAGGTGAGACATATTGCAGTAAACGTGCAGCAGTGGACAGACTGATGATAGGAGATTAGCACGAACGGTGTGAAAGAAGTTAAACATACATACGAAATACTTCAACATCCTAAATAACTCTTGCTCTAGTACTCATGGTTATCTGGGCTTTATTATCATACATTTCAATGTCATCTCGGTATGCACTATATCAAGTGATTTGGCGTTTTGTCGTCGCTACATGTCATTATCTGAAGTCATTCACACTCGTATCTTGTCGACAATAGCCCCGTAGATTTGTCTGTACCCCAATTCACACACGCATCAACATTGGGCCCCATCAAATGGTTTGGCCCCATCCCATCAAATGGTATGGCCCCATGAAATGATTGGGACCCATCAAATGGTTGGGGACCCATCAAATGGTTGGGGACCCATCAAATGGTTGGGGACCCATCAAATGGTTGGGGACCCATCGAATGGTTGGGACCCATCTAATGGTTGGGGACCCATCAAATGGTCGGGGACCCATCAAATGGTTGGGACCCATCAAATGGTTGGGGACCCATCAAATGGTTGGGGACCCATCAAATGGTTGGGGACCCATCAAATGGTTGGGACCCATCAAATGGTTGGGGACCCATCAAATGGTTGGGACCCATCAAATGGTAGGGACCCATCAAATGGTTGGGACCCATCAAATGGTTGGGACCCATCAAATGGTTGGGACCCATCAAATGGTTGGGACCCATCAAATGGTTGGGGACCCATCAAATGGTTGGGGACCCATCAAATGGTTGGGGCCCATCAAATGGTTGGGGCCCATCAAATGGTTGGGACCCATCAAATGGTTGGGACCCATCAAATGGTTGGGACCCATCAAATGGTTGGGACCCATCAAATGGTTGGGACCCATCAAATGGTTGGGGACCCATCAAATGGTTGGGGACCCATCAAATGGTTGGGACCCATCAAATGGTTGGGACCCATCAAATGGTTGGGACCCATCAAATGGTTGGGGACCCATCAAATGGTTGGGGACCCATCAAATGGTTGGGGCCCATCAAATGGTTGGGGCCCATCAAATGGTTGGGGCCCATCAAATGGTTGGGACCCATCAAATGGTTGGGACCCATCAAATGGTTGGGACCCATCAAATGGTTGGGGACCCATCAAATGGTTGGGGACCCATCAAATGGTTGGGGACCCATCAAATGGTTGGGGACCCATCAAATGGTTGGGACCCATCAAATGGTTGGGACCCATCAAATGGTTGGGACCCATCAAATGGTTGGGACCCATCAAATGGTTGGGACCCATCATGGCCGTGGCTGACCACAATTCGGTGCAGGCTTGGGCAGTGGTGGTGGTGTTTGGAGGAGGCTGGTGGGACCAACAAGGAAGTTGGTGTGGGTGGGCTGCCTTCTAGAGGGAACCAACACTTCAAAGCGTGCTCTTGTGGAATCTACCATTAGCAGCTTACCACGTTTTACTGCAGGAGCACTTTTCCACGTGTGTGTGTGTGTGGAAGAACAGGAGATTACATGTTGAAATGGTTGTTCATGCCTTTAAGCCAGAAGTTGTAGTTTTTTGTTGTTAAATACATCACATTAGTTTAGAATGCACCGTGCGTTGTAATCTTTATGCTGCCACAGTAAATGTAACCCACCACCACGACCACCTACCTCATTCATGGTGGCAGACTTGGATGATGTTGCTTTACAATGAGGACATTGACACTGTCCAGGGTTCTCAAAACTACCCCCCCCCCCGTGCCAACCCTCCACAAAACAAACTTACAGCACACACCATACCTATACAAGTGCCTTTGTATATATGTACTGTAGTATTGTTTAAGTGTAATTTATCTTGCGCGCTCTATAAACTGCGTGATGTATGTACTAAACACTGCATCATAAATGCAGTTGGGGTGAACGCTAATTCAATACAGTATGTATTCTGTAAATTATGGACGGTAAACAGAAAAAGCGGACTACACATCTCTGCTGTCGAGTATTTGTAGAATGCTAAGAGCTTCGCTTTTTCCTGCCCTGTCCATAACACTAGGTTATTTGGAGGGTCCTTCAAAAAAACATTTTAACCGATACAATTACTAAAGAAATGCTTTCTTGACAAGGTTGATACGTTTTGCATGAAGGCTACTACGTTTGTCATTGCCGTAGTCACCATCAGTTAATTGTAGCGCACGTGCCCAAGGCTATGTGTGTGGTCTTAGTCAGGTGTGGCATGAAATCGGCATCGATGATTATAGTTGTGTGTGTGGCACCAGATACTTAAACTTCCAGAGGTTTTAACAAGGTAAGGGTGAGTGAGTTTGCCTGCATTCCGACACACACATGGCCTTTTCATGTGCGTTTCTGTGTGTGGTTTTAACATATGTAGAGATAAAGTCTTCATCAGACATGGCAAATCCACTGCTGGATATTCAGGTTTACTTTCTGTGGCTTGCCCACACTGTCATTATTCTGGACAATTTGGCTATCATCTCTACTGCCATAAGGATTCAAGCGGACTCAACTTTTTTTACCATTCATAATAAATGGTTTTGTGTTAGATTGCATTATTTTTAAATGTGTCGTAACCCTCCACCACCCGACACGGCCAATCAGCAAAAAGTGTCACGTTGACAAAAGACAAATAGTTCACTACTTTAGCCCACCGGTCTGTTGAAGAGTGAAACCACAACATTTACAAGCTTTTTGAGTACGACGTTTCGCTGGTAATTTCATCCAGCATCATCGGGCAATTCTGGCTTATTAAAAAATAACGCGATCTAACCCAAAAACGTTTATTATGAATAATATTGGTCGCGAAAGCCTCGGTGTTAAACTTTTTTTTACCAGTTTGAATGATATCACTAGCTTGCTGATATAAGTTCTCTAATTCATGTGTTCCTCTTTCTGTTTCTACAAAAGAATTGCAAGCATGTATATGTGTCTCTTCTCGATGCTCTCCCCACTGTTCAGTAATTCTGTTCCACTGTTAATTAATGACCGTTTCTGAACCAGATATTAGAGTCGAATCGACCCACAAAGCACAGCATTCACGTCTTGGAAGGGGAGGCCTATGAAGACATCTCGCCTTAACATGTTTACTTTGCATGAAGTTGACAAAGCTCATATCTAGGGGTGGGGGAGCTGTGGGTGCAGTGGTTTGCGCACTGATGTTGTGAATTCTGCAACCTGATTTTAATATCTGGCCAAAGCTGACATGATTGGTAGGTGATATCTGAACTATTTCTGTAATCAATCCTCTACCAGCCTGCACAAGCCGGCATGGTGAAGTATGGTCAAACATTCTCCATGACCAACATGGCATTAGGATGCCTTCAATCAGCAGTGGATTGAAAAAGGGCTCTACATTGTTATCAACTCTAAACTCAACAATTCTAGATTTGAAGTTTTCGTGACTGCAAGGATCCATACTCTTTTCTTCTTTCGGTAAAGTCACGTAGAAGGGAAATAATAAAATAACAAAATTATAAAACAATAAAATTCTCACGACGTTTCGACTGCAACACAAGCAATCATCATCAGGTGTGAAATCCACAGCAAGAAAAAATAATAATATGACCTGCGGCCTTAAAAGGCAAAGTACATAATTGGTGACGTTTTGAGCCATAGACCTTCATAGCACACATGAGGGTCATTGCACAAAATGTCGTCTATGATATATTTTTCCTTTTGAAGTGTGTGTTTTTGACAGATGTGTTTAGTTTTTTTATTGCTGTTATGTGCGCCTGTGCACCACTGCGCATGCGGTATCATCATTTTTATTATTTACTCGTGTTGACATGCTTGAGTC